TGTCTGTCTGTCTGTCTGTCTGTCTGTCTGTCTGTCTGTCTGTCTGTGTAATAAACATGCTTGATATAGTTTAGACTCCCAGAGTAGTTTGGAACAGCGGAGAGAGAGAGAGATGCATTCAGATGAAAGGTAAGTGCCATTTATCTACAGTGTTGGGGCTCAGGAGGGATCTGGACAGGAACACGTTGGTGTATCTCGTACTGTGGAGGAAGAGTGGTTACTGTAAATCTTACTTTTATGTTTTGTTCAACAGTTCTGGAGAGGAAGGCGAAAGATCCCAAATGGTGAAGGAGTGCAATGTGAAGAAGGTGAACACGTATTGTTGGAGTGTGGCAGGATGAAACTCTGATACTGGCTCACTGGTGTTTTCTTTCAGGTGATTTTCCAACAGCTGTGGATCTTACAGGGAGGCTTTCACTGGAGAATTCAGCTTCACAGACACAAGGAAAGATGGTTCCACAATAGCAAGCCACAGAGTCCAGACTGGAGGACACAAGGACTCACACAGGCTATCTATAATTGCAAGAACAACACTTCAGGGCAGAAATAGTTTTACCACAGGCATCACAGTGTTCCAGCGTCGAGGGAATGATCCATTGGTACTTGAAAGCACCAGAGCTCCTCACCAGGATCATAAACAGATGGAGACAATCTTGGCTACACCCAAAGGAACTACAACATGTTAGAGAGACACTGGAATCCCACAATAATGGATGAATGAAAGGATAATCGGACCCATGTAGGTATTACCACCCCCCCACACACACACACCACCACCACCCCACACACGCACACATGTATTTAATTTTATTATTTTAATATGGCCACCAATTGTCCCTAGGTGTAAATGAGAGAGTGAATGGGTCTTGTTTGTCCCTTTGATGGACTGAAGACCTGTCCATGGTGTCTCTTGCCTCTTGCACAGTGATGGTTGGATATGGTCACCAGTGACCCGAAAAAGAGGAAGTAGATAAAGATAATGAATTATGGATGGATGGATGGATGGATGGATGGATGGATGGATG